CGCCGGCTGGCGGTGGGCTCACACGTGCAGGCCGTGACGTGGCGCGGAGGAAAGATGTCTCCGTCGGAGTTTCCTGGGGTGGTTGTGGGAGGCGGTAGGAGCACACATCTGTCCACTCGGACAGCCGCTGCCCCTTGCTCGCCCACGTCAGCACGCCGAGGCCTGACCTCCACGGACAGTGTTCTCAGGCAGCCCGCTCCGGTGAGCGCTCCGCAGGGCCTGGCCGCGCGGGTGGGGGAAATAGCTGGTGCCCCTCGGATAGCACCACCTGTGACCTTGCGTGGGACTGACGACTCTGGAAGCCACACTCATTTCCAGTGAGCCAGCACGCAGCCTCAAGAAGGCTTTTCCTTGTGCTGTGGTCTGATCGAATGCTTGCCCCGCCCCCCCCCGTTGTAAACTACGGGACGTTTCACGTGGTCTCGGGGTCTGCCTGTGTCCCCGAACCCCCCTTCTCCTCCCCAGCTCAAGAGCTTGCCTTTACTGATGTCCCAAGATGCGCCCTGGTGCCCACTGGGGAGATGAGGCTTCGGCCCAGCCGGTGGGGATTCCACTCCCTCGCTGGGCTCTCCTGTGGGGACCCAACGTGCTCTCCAGGCCCAGTATTCAAGGGGCAGGGGCGGCCAGTGGGGGCTCAGCATGCCCTTCCTGGGGCGTGGTGACCCGCGCTGGACAGTGTGCAGAGGACCCAGCATGGGCAGGAGGGCCTCTCCGCAGACCCCCACAGGGCTTCCCGAGTCAGACCAGAGGCCTTGCGCCCTTGCTGGGAGAGGATTGTCACTGAAATTTCCTTTCTCCGGGCTGGTGGCCAGTCTTTCCTGTGCTCTGCCCCAAACCATGCCTGGGTCCTCCCAGCTCAGCACCGAGGTGACATCCGGCAAGTGGGCCCAGCGGGGAGGATTTTCTGTTCCAGATCCCACCCTCTTGCACCCATGGGTCTTGATGGGAAGGAGCGCAGGAATGGGTGGACGAGGTCGCACAGGCTCCCTCTTGTTCCTCTTCTTCCTTCTGTCGCAAGGCCACCTACATGCACGCCACACACACTTTGAAGCACGTATGTTTTACGTCTGCTTTGTTGAGATGGAACTCACCGACCACGCAGCTCATCCGTTTCAAGTTCAGGGGTCTTTGGTCTACTCGGCTAGGCAGCCATCCCACCAATTCAGACATTCCCAAACGCCATCCACCCGTTCTCCTAGCCTGGCAGCTTCAAAGCCATTTTCTGTCCGTGTGGACCCGCCGGTTCTGAACGCCGCCCCTCCCGGAGCGGCGGTATTGGTCCCGCTGTGTCTGGCTTCTGCGCTGAGCGCACATCTTCAGCTGCGTCCACACAGGATGTGTGTTGAACTTCATCCCGCTCAAGGCTGGTAGCATTCCATCGTGTGGATGGACCACGTTGTGCTAACCCACTTGCAGTGTAGACATGGGGCTTGTGCCCACCTTTTGGGTCTGGTGCTTCCTCGAACACCGGTGTGCAGGTTTCTGTGTGGACGCGTGTGCCCTTCCCTGGGCATCGCCCAGGTGCAGAGTCCTGGTCGTTGGAATGCCATGTTCAGTCGTGTGGGGACCAGCCAGGCTGAGCCCCACAGCAGGAGGCTGATTTCTTTCTCCTCTGGAATCTCTTCTGCAGGAAACAGACTGCTTTGAGCGGTGTTGGGGGGCCCCCGAGTGTGAGGCTTGGGGAGTTTCAGGGATTGCGGGAAGTGAAGACCAGCTGCGTGGAGGCACTCCCCCTGGGTAGCACCCCAGCGCCGCTGACCCTGCATGCTCGACAGTCAGCGCCCCGTCTCCTCCGTGGCCCCCACAGGAGTGTGGAGGGGCCCCGTTTGCGCCTCCCCCACTGCCTTCCCCCACAGCCGGTAGCCCCGTGACGGCGTTTGGTGTGCAGCCTGCTCCCACGGCCAGCAGATGGTGGGCAGGAGACCATGTGCACGTGGCCGTGGGCCCTGGGAACGTGTGTCCCGCCACGCAGACGTGTGATTCGGTCTGATCGGGCCTCTGCTGTTTCCATCCTGCCCGTTGGCTGTGTGACTGGCAGACCACTTCAGCTGATGCTGTGACTTGGGAGGAAGCTGGTCACTGGGCGTCCACGCTCCCGCTTGCCGGGGGCTTGAATGGCTATGTCTTGGGAAGCTCTGATGCTCCCGCAGAGGCTGGGGGCCCCACGTGTGGCCCCGTCCGGCCCCGAGCCGCCCCGGGAGCTGTGTGACTAAGAGCTGGGCTCGGAGGCTGCGCCAGCCACAGGCCGGCCGTGGAAGCCTCCAGGCGGGCGGGTGTGGTGGGGAAGCCTTTCCGATGACTCACACTGCAGGGAATTCCCTAATGATTCGGAATATTTTTACTTCTGGGCTTGCGCACAGTTTCCTACTGAGGACCCAGGGAGCTCTTGATAAGGCTGGGGCTCCCAGGCTCATTCGGGGCTGGCCTTTCCCGTCCCCGGAGAGGCTGGGGCTTTGCTTGGCACCCAGGCCGGGCCTGCCTCCGGCCGGAGCTCCACAGAAGCCGACGCCCAGAGGCCGGACAGCAGGGTCCGCGCCCCCAGCTCCTCTGGAGACCAGCGACCGGTCCCTCTGGCGCTGGTACACGTGGGAAGCGGTTTTGTAATTTCCTAGTGTCCACGATGGTCAGCCACATTGAATGGTCTCCGTGCTGCCGTCTTCGGACAGTCAGCCCGTACACACTTCTACGTCTACATAAGTGGACAGCAGCTCATTTAGGACCCTCAGTAGAAACAGGCCAGACGCCTGTCCCCGTGGGCTGTGACTCAACCACAGATACAAAGACTCAGGGAAAACGGGGCCAGAGCCCAGGACCGTCCTCAGGTGGGCGGGAAAGTGCAGGCAATGGGCTCCTGCACCGCGGGCCTTCCAGAAGCCGGTGTTTAACGGGAGCGTCTGGGTGTGTCTGTTTGTGCTCCGTTGACCTGCACCCAGCAGGGCTGGCGTTTGGGGGAGCAGAACGTAGCGTGCACAGTGGGCCCGTGTGGCTGGCCGGCCCTGGGCCGACGCTCTGATGAGGACTGGGACCCACCAGCCCAGGAGGGGCTGCAGCAGGAGGGTTCTGCTGCCACACTTGGCCCCCGGGCCCCACGAAGCACCCCACCAGCTTCGTGACGTGGATGAGCCCGCAGGGTGTGTTCACAGCAAGGCCGGGTCTGCTCTGACCCCTCTTGGAGGGTAGACGGTGGGCGCAGGATCCCTTTGTTGCTGAACGCCCTGTCCCTGGCCCCTCGTGGGCCTCGGTTTCCCTCCTGCCCCCGCGTGCTCGATGTACCTCCCTGCCCCCACTCCGACGGGAGGCCCAGACACTCGAGAATTCCTCAGGGAAGCCTGAGCCATGCTTTCCACCGACAGACGGAGACCGGGCAGCAGCCAGGGCTGCCCCCAGCCGTCCAGGTTGTGACACCTAAAGCTATGTTTCTTTAAAGTTGTTTTAAGAGGCACCAAGAACATGAGAGACTTGCTTACAGGAAGAATAATTTCGATTTCCTTAAGCAAGTGGTGGGTGGGGCCCCAGCCCGCGAGCCCAAGGCGGGTCTGGCCTGCACGGCCTAGACGAGCCTGCCCCGTCCCCACGCGGGGCAACTGGAACCCCATCCCCAGCTCACAGCTCACGATCATCCGTCCGCTTGGGGGGCTGGGGGTTAAGGATGCTTCTGTGCTCTGGAATGTGAGCGGCTTTGTGGAAGTCTTGGTTGGTGCCTTTGAGAACGGGACGGTGTATTTTTAGTTTCCCATTATGTTTTCCTGGAGGAGACACGGACGCTGATCCCTTGGGCCACTGGTCTGCATTTTATCACCGAGTGGGTTCATCTGGTGGGTAATTTGCTCCGGGAGCTCGGGCGTCCCGAGAGGCTGGTGTGGTCCTGGCAAGCCGACGCTGCTCTGGGCTCTGTGTGACTCACATTTCCTCCCTCTGTCTCCACCCTCCACCCCTGCCCGCCCGCACTGTCAGGCAGAAAAAGGAGATTTTGTCTAATTTATTTATAATTTAGGATCTGTAAGACACATACATCTCTTCTTTGGAAACAGAGCAGGAGCAAAAACTAAGTATGTCTCGTTGTAATTGTTCGTTTGGGGACAGACTTTATAGAAGATGGGGAGGGGGGAGACCTTGGCAGGAGACTGACCTCTGTTAATTCAAAGTAACTACCCAGCCGGTCCCCACACAGTTGGCCGGCCATAGAGGGGCTTCCAAAGTCCAAGTACTCGGTTTGCAGACGTTCCCGCCAGTGGACTTCTCGAGGCTCCCTCCCTCGCAGGCCTGGGCCTGCAGAACACTGAGCCCTTTCAAGGCCTATTGGGAGCCTTTTTACTTTTTTTTAAACATGCAAACGGCCACTGGGGTAAGGTTAAAAATACCATGTTTTGCATTTCTGTATCCTGATGTGGCAAGAAGTCATCACAGAAAGGGTTTTCTCGTTTAGCTGGCAGTTCCTGTGGGCAGAGGCAGGACCGTGGCTCCTGGGCCCTCATTTGTCGGAATAACTCTGCTCCCAAAACATACAGGCTTTGCAGGCACCGCTCATTCGGCCCCTGCTCCCGGGGTTTGCACCTTGAGGCTGGAGTCACTGGCGGGCACGAGAGCCAGGACACACGCCTGGGTCCAGGTCTGAGGACCACGCACTTTTTCCCGGGTCCTGGTGTTTCTCCTGGGCTCGCACTCCCTTGACAAGCTTGGCATGTAGAAACCCTCCCACGCCTGGCGTGAGGCTGGGGCGGCATGCCTGTGGATGTAGGCGGGGGAGCAGATTTCTGGGGCGCTCGCTGAATGGGGCCCCCTCCCACAGAGCCGGGGGCCTTCGGGCTCCGCCAGGCTCCCTGCCCCCACGTCTGGGCCTGGCACGTCCTCTCCGCCAGTGACCCACACACAACTGTTTGCTCTCACGAGTTAACAGCCAGGATGGCCTGAGCTCATCAGAGGGCGGCGGTCTCCAGGGTCCCCTGTGCCTGGTGAAGGCACGTGGTCTTGTGCAGTGGGCTCGACCAGGCACCCAGAGTGACCAGCTTCCCTTTGCCCCTTTCTTCTAGATGGTCACCACATCTGGGAGATGGAGGCGAAGATGGACAGAGACCTGTGCAAGCCGGTAAGTATGGCCGGACACGCAGCCCGTGGTGGCTCTGGAGGCTGGGGGCTTCCTGCTTGCAGGAGCAACGAGAAATACCAGACGGAATAACAGAGCACAAAGCGGAGACTGTGGTAAAGTGCTTCCTGAAACAAGTGTTCTCAGGACCCACAACCCACTGGAGGGCAGGACCCCCGCCCCAGGAGGTGCTCCGTCCCCTGCGGGGACCCTGGGCTCGCACCTGGGCCCCCCCGGCGATCGTTGTCACCAGGGGTCCCGCGGAAGCCGCTGTTCTGAGTGTGAGTGGGCGCCTCACCTGCCCCAGCACGCCAGGCTGTGTGAGGTTCCACCAGCGTCCTTGGCACCCATCACCGAGTAGACTCTTGTTTTGAATGTGAACTAGATGTGAAGTCAGGTCTCATTGTGCCACTCAGATGTGCTCATTCCATCTGCCAATTAGCTGGTGTGCTTGTAGGCGCCGGCAGGTCGCGGAGCAGGGGCCCGGCCTCGTGGGGGCCGCCGCACAGCTCTCGGGCCCACAGACGCCCCGCGTGCACCCACGCGGACACCCAGCCTCTCACAACTCCTTGCTTGCGCGTGTAGGTACCTGCGAGGTCTTTCCTGCCCCCATGGTTGTTGATGGAGGAGGGAGGTTGGTCGTCTACAGGTCTGCGGCTCGTGCTAGCCAGCACAGCGTTCTCCATCCCCGGACCTTTCGCTGGGGCCTTATGTTTAAAGTGGGTTTCTCATAGACAGCAAATAGCTGGGTCTGATGGTCCGTCCGTTCAGTGGTGTATTTAGAACGTTGGTGTTCAAAGTGATTATTGACAGAGTGATTATTGACAGAGTGGGATTAACCTCTCCTATCACGTGTGTGTTCTGCTTGGTCCCAGAGAAGCAGCAGAGGACTTCAGGCTGACCTAAGACTGTGGCCAGCAGGTCACTGAAGAAGTTCAAAGTTCTCCCAAGCCCTGTAGCTCACCCCACTGACTGTGGTGGACAGGTGTGTGTGGCCCCTTGCTCAGCCCGTTGACCGTGGACGGGCATGTGTGGCCCCTAGCTCAGCGTGCTGGGACCATGGACGGGCATCTCTGGCCCCTAGCTCAGCCCGTTGAGCGTGGACGGGCATGTGTGGCCCCTAGCTAACCCTGCTGACCACGGACAGGCGTGTGTGGCCCCTAGCTCAGCCCACTGACTGTGGACGGGCATGTGCGGCCATTCTGACAGTGCAGGGAAATGGGAAGTTGGCTTACTCAGAAATAGTACTCAGGGCAGGAACATACTGTTTTCTCAGGGCTCCCGGGGGCCCTGGGGTGTTGCAGCGGGGTGCACAGGGAGCCTTTGGGTGGTGGGATTTCTGATGCCGTTAGGTAGGTATCTCTGCCCTGCGGCTGGTGGGACTCTGAGTCACGAGGGGGACCCCCGGCCACCATGGAGGTAGCTGTCTGACGGCTGCTCACTCACGGCAGGCCCGGGGCTGCCCGGGTCCTCACAGGTGGCTCTATCAGGATGAAGCATCTCTACTTGGGACTTCAGCTTCCTTTCCCAAAGCTCTAATCCAGCGGGTGTCAGATGGAAAAGATCCCTCCCTGGCCTCAGGGGGAAGCCTGTGCTCTGGAGCTTGCTCCCCTCCCGTGATGTCCAGGCCACCTCCCACGCTCGGGACCTCACACGCACACACACGAGCTTCTTCGGGTTCCGTCCCGTTTCCCGCCTGCCTGAGAAGCCCCAGGGAAGCGCCAGGGGCTCTGGGCAGCACGGCCCCCAGATGGGGCGCTCGCTCCTGGCTCAGCCGGTGCACCAGGTGCAGCCGGCTCACGGGTTTGTCGTAAACAGACACCTGGCAGTAGGACAGACAGCTGCAGGCCACCTCCAGCAGCCTCCTGCGTGCGCCCCGGCCCACGAGGGGCCCACCCGTCTCCCCCAAGCAGGGAAGAGGCTGCAGAAATCCGGCGGCTTTCCGTATTGAGACAACTCCTGCCCAGTTTGCAGGCTCAGCTTGAGTGTCATTGATTTTTCTCCTTTACTTTGAATAGTTGTGTAGTTTAACGGAAGCTTAACAGTTAACAATTGGGGGTTTTAAAAGAAACATAATGGTATGTGTGAATGAGGATGTACTTTAGATGTACTATTCATCCTTCTTATCTCTTAATCGAGGTTTACTTTTAAGTATTATTCCTAATCATAAAGGAGTATGGTATTCATTGTGGAAATTTGGAAAATACAACAAAGTATAAAAAAGAAAGCAGGCACCTTGTGTAATTTTACCCCCGCTAACGTTTGGTCCTGCCAGGCTTTCCCCGGTGTGTGTGTGCGTGTGCATGTCTGTGTACGTGTGTGCGTGTGTGTGTGAATGTGTGCATGGGTGTGCACATGTGTGTGCGTGTACACACATCCACACGCACACACGCGCACTCATTATGTCCCAGGCACTTCGTAAACAAAGCAGGATCGTACTGTACACGGGGCTCTGGGCTGTTGTGAGCAGTGTAGACGGGAGTTTCTTAAGCAAGTTGCGTGGATGCGTCGAGTGCTGTTTGTAATCCCTGCTTTCCCTGTGATGACAGATGTCCTGTTACTGAGTTTCTTTCCTGCATCTCCACACACGCACAGCACAGTGTATCTATTTGGAAAGCTAAAGCATATCAGCCTGTGCCCGCATCAGAATAGGGCCCCAGTCACCTAGGATTCATAGAAAGCAAACCACAAAGTCGAACCCGGTCCGAGGGCCGCACTGGCCTGCCTGGAACGCCTGTTTCCGCCCGTGTGACGCCTCGCACACACTTCCTGCAGACTCTCCTGTTGACGGCTCCTTGTGGCTCATTATATTTTGAGCCTCTGTTTAAGCAGGACCTCTTCCTCTCTGTGTCTTCCCTTCACTTCTTCTGTGGGGTCCGACTCCACGCACTCTGTGTTCCACAGTGGCTCGCCGTCGGGGAGGGCCAGCATCCCCTGCAGGGTCCTCTCCATGTAGTCGAGTCCTCAGACGTAGTCTCTCTGCCCTTCATGCTCCCCGTGCCGATGGTGAGGCAGAGACGCAGAGCGACCCGGAGCCTGGCCCTGGCCATGCATGGCCCCCCCTCCCCGCCCCGTGGGACCCGCCCTTTCCCCCATCAGCTCCATGTCTGCAGGGTTATTCTTGCTAAGGGGACGAGATGCTCAGGCAGAAGGAGATGCGGCTCGTTGCCTCTTCCAGATGGGACGTGGTCACTGAAGCACTAAAACCGCTTTGGAGCAAGCATGGCCCCAGGGGATGGAGCCCAGAGGGGCCCTGCTGTCCGTGCGCACCCTCAGCATCAGGCTTCTGAGCCTCAGTTTCTTTGTCTATAAAAGGAAAAGGTTGGGCCTAAAGTTCTCTTCAGTTTCGTTTTAACATTCTTAGGATTCCATTACTAACATGATTCAATCCATTTTGCTATTAAACTGGGTAATAAGCTACAATTTCTTTGACAAAAACCTGATACAATGGATTTTTCTTGTTTTCTCTACTTGTTAACTTAAATCATTGGACAAAAAAAAATTGAAGAAACATTTTGGATGTGAAATCCTGTCCCTCAGTGCGAAATCGAGCACAGCGTGGGCACCTGTGGGGACCTGTCCCCTGACTTTGGCCCCTGGCATCGGGCACAGAGCGGTGCGCCCGCGCACACCGACATTGGCTGGGACCCGGGCGGCCTGACCACCAGCCTGTGTCTCCCATAATGCCGTGCGTCCCACCTGACTTACTTCAGACCTGTACTCGAAGGAGGATAGTTTTTGTGACAAGGTTGCCAATCTGTGCTTTAGACTGTGAGAGGTTAACAGCACCCACCATAAGCCCTCCTGTCCCCGTTTGTGCCCTGTTTTCTAACTGTCCACCCCTCTCCCAGTCTGCTCATGTTGCGCTCACCCACCTTCCGTTTGAGGGAATCTGGGAGGCCGTGGTGGGCGTTGGGCCTTCGTCACAGAACCGGTCCCCGAGACACGTCTCCAGGAAGCACCTCCCCTGGGTCTTCACCGCGTTACCTGAACAGGTGCTCACCGCTCCATCTGTGAGCCCAATGTGGGACTGTTTTAGTTTCCAGAGGTCACTGGCCCTTTTGGTTTGGGCAGACAGACACATGGGGGTCTTTCGAGGACCTCTCCGGCCGCGTGGCCATTCTGCCCTCAGATGAGCACCAGAGGCTTTGCTCGGGGATGAGTCGGTGGCATCTGAGGGGAAGCCCCCAGCCAGCCTGCTGCCCCCGCCCCCCAGCGCACACCACCCGTCAGCTCCGGGTGCTCAGGCTGCCCACGTGGGCCTGGCAGGTTCAGTCTGCACACACGTGCGCCCACGTCACAGGCAGGCTGTCTGTGGGCAGCTTCTCCTAAGCGGCTGGGACAGCCACCGGGGAGCTGCTCGCCACTAGGGAGCTCTGGAGGGGCCGCGCGGGCGCGTCGTCTCTGAGCCTCTCACCCTCTCCCTCCTGTCTGCCGTTTCTCACCAGAACTCGCTGGTGGTCGAGATCCCGCCTTTCCGCAACCAGAGAATAACCAGCCCCGTGCAAGTCAGCTTCTATGTCTGCAACGGGAAGAGAAAGAGAAGTCAGTACCAGCACTTCACCTACCTTCCTGCGAACGGTAACGCTCTCTTTCTAACCTTAAGCACTGAGAATGAACCAAGGGGGCACTTTTTCTAAAAGACACAGGAATGCCGAGATGCTGTTGCCATGGAACAGTGTGGTTGCCTTGTAGGTTTAAGCTGCGTTATCATCCTGTTAGCAAGACCGTGTCCTCAATTCTTAAAAAAAGAAGTGAAGCTTTCCGTGTATTTCCCTTTATTACTGCTGTGGGTGGGGGCTGCATATTGGGGTAATTACCGACCGTTTTGCTGGCTGCTTGCAAATATAGAACAGCCCGGGGGAGAAAGAGTACAGCCCTTCTGTGCTCAAAAGCTGAGGTGGTCTAGGTGTGTGTTTAAATTCTATAGATGTTTAAGGTGGAAAAGCAAATAGTTACAATTATTTTGCAGGTGCCTTTAGAAATAAATCTATGCTATTGAGCCTAAAGGCTAGTGCTTGATGTGGTCATTAACTAACATTAACGATTTCTGTGCTCCTGCTAATGCCCCACCTCCCATTTTTCCGTGAATAATCGCATCTCCCTGTGACCGTGAGGCTTTCAGGCCCGAGCACCTTTTACTCAACTAAATACTGTCCTCGCTGAGACTGTTTATACACTTTGAGGATAAATGCTTAGGGCTTAGGGAAATCAGTTTGCCTTTTCTGCTTCTTAAGGTGTTTTTTTTTTTACCCCCAGAACTAGTAGAAAATAAATGTGCTCCGCGTTGTCCTCAGAGTATCGCCTGGCATTCTGCCTCGTGGGCCGGGGCATGCGCTCAGAGAGCACGGGATCGCTTGTCATCCCAGGTTCAGTTGTGTTTTGTGTCAGCTCAGCTCTGCCAATAATCTTTTTGTACAGTAGCTGTTTTAAAAACTTAGGAGATTCATATAATTTAAGAGGGAAATTAGTTATACACTAAAAACTATTGCAAAACCAGCCACGTTGCTTTCTTGGTAAAATCAAGATTCTCTGAGGGTTTAGTTCTCTTTAACCGTAAGGTGTCATTTACAAAATAGACTAGATCATAGGAAGGCCTAGAATATCTGCGTTGATATCAGAATTAACTGTTTTCTGGGCAAATGTTAGCTGTGCCTTTGAAGATTGGAGTAATGCGATCTTGTAAAGTCACCACCTCAAGAGAGGGGACGCAAGCTAGGACTGCAGAAAAGGACTGTGTGCATGTGAGCTGCTCCCGCCGGGGTCGGGTGTCCTCGTGTTCTGTGACCCTCCTGGGCGTGCGTGCTCTGCAACGTGCTCCATCCCATCTGCTCGTGGAATGAGGGGCAATATATCTTACAAGAGAAAATATTTAGTCATTTTTTGAAAATGTAATGATTTTGTCCTAATTAAACTTCAAACATGGTTGACCAAAAATTGAATGTTTTAAAGAAAACCAGGCTTTGTAAGAAAAATTGCTTTTTAAAGCAGTTCAGAAAATATCTCTCACATTAATGTTTCTGCAGTCCCTGCACCGAGCGGTAACACACACTCTCCCGTGTTGGCGGGAGAGGGCCTGTGACCTGCACCTCCTACAGGAGGGGACACTGAGCCCCAAGAACATGTTACTAAGATACAGGGGTGCTGAGGGCTGTCCATGCGCCATCCTGTCTCCCTGCCCTGCAGTGGGAATCACGTGCTGCAGCCTCACCCCACAGGGACCTGACTGCCCTCTGCCCCGGGACCCCGTCCCCACCCTCTCCGTCTGCCCTGGGACCCCGTCCCCACCCTCTCCGTCTGCCCTGGCACCCAGTCACCACGTTCTCCATCTGCCTGGGGACCCCGTCACCACATTCTCCGTCTGCCCCAGGACCCCATCTCCACGTTCTCCATCTGTCCCGGGACCCTGTCACCACGTTCTCCGTCTGCCCC